ACACACACACACACACACACACACACACACACACACCAGGGCTGCTGAACCTGAGACAATAGACTCAATAGACAAACCGGTCACTTTGCACCTTCTATATATACATGATGTATATAGTATCATTATTTTATTTATTTATTCCATCTCCTTTTGTACGCATACACACACACACACACAGTTACACACACACACACACACACACACACACACACACACACACACACCAGGGCTGCTGAACCTGAGACAATAGATTCAATAGACAAACCGGTCACTTTGCACCTTGTATATATACATGATGTATATAGTATCATTACTTTATTTATTTATTCCATCTCCTTTTGTACTGTTTTAAAATTTTATTTATTTGTTTTTGTTTATTTTTTATCCCTTTCTTGCTCTCTCTCTATGTATATATATCTATATCTATATATATAGATATGAGTGAGGAACAGGTGCACAAAGCATTTCATTGCGCGTAATAACATCTTTAACATGTATAACTGTGTTTGTGACCAATAAAGGCCTTGAATCCTTGAAACACACACACACACACAGAGTAATACAACAACACACACACACACACTGACACACACACACACACACACACAGTCTGCAGGGGGCTGATAGGAAACGGAGTCCAGTTCTGTTGGTCTGTGTCTACTGACCTGGTGGGCGTCGCCCTCCGTGGCTCCGCCTCCCTCTTGGTTCCTGCAGACAGAACCAAAGCTGGACTGAAACTCTGTTAAGGTCCTTTCAGACAACTTGAAATGACACGAAACACAACGACACACACCTGTGTCCTCTCTGCACCTGTGGAGGGGGCGTGGCCTTCGGGGCCGATGCAGCGTCCTCTCCCTGAGCTGCTTCCTGTTCGGGGCGGAGCTTCTTCTGTGGCTCCTCCCTCCTCCTGTTGGTCTGCAGGTGGAAACATGTCAGTCAGGTGACCGGTATGAGGATTCTACGTTCATGTTCCAGCAGCTACGATACAAACGTTAACAACCAACAGACGGTAAAAACCTAAAGTTAGCTTAAAAACCCGATCAAGTTACGTTATTGATGCTACAATCAAAATGTTAGCTTTCCAGATGTTCAGCTTCAGTGTGTTTGATTATATATTTTATAATATTTTAGTTTGTTCTAGTGTAAATGTTGATTCACTTTAACAAGCTGTGAACACCTCTGACAGCAGAAGCACCTCCAGTTCTTCAAGTATAGAAAAAAATTTTGTTAAAAAACAAAAACCACAATTTCCAGACGCAACAGGAGCAGCGCTTCGGGACAGGACGATGCAAACAGGAAGTGAAACCATCATCCAGATGCAGCGCCTGAACTGGGCCACGAGGAGGTGCATCGTGGGAAACGTAGGCTTCTGGTGTAAACGGCAGAAACTCTGTTAAATGTGTTTGTGAGCATCAGAACCGTCTCAGATTAAACACAGCAGCTGTTTACGTTCTGCTGCAAATGTTCTCATAGTCTGAAGGTCCCCAATCCCAGAATTCCCGGTGCTTGTGTTGCTAGGCAACCTGCCGAAGGTTCCACAACACTTGACCTTAATACTTCCGTAATATTTATCCTTCAGAAGGTCAGACACACATTTTGCGTCTCTTTGTTTTAATTTATTTACGTTTTTGTCACTAAGTTAAGATCAACTTTATTGATCCTTCACCAGGGAACATTTCTGTGCTCATTTTGTGTCTCTTTTTAGCATTTTTACGTGTATTTGTTGTTACTTTTCCTTATTTTTTCAGCTGTTTTGTGTTTCCTTGGGGTCACTTTGCTCCTTCTGTTGCGTCTCTACGCTCAGTTTGCAGATATTTGTTGCCGTTTTGCAAATATTCAGTCTTTTTTTTCTCTTCGTGCTCGTTTTGTGTTTCTTTGTGGCCGTTTTGCAAATCCTCTCAGTTGTTTTGTGTCAGTTTGTGGTTATTTTGCATTTCTTTGTCATCACTTTACATTTGCTTACAGTTGTGTCTTCATCTTTGTGGCTGTCTGGTGTCATTTTGTGTGTTTTTGTCATCATCTTTCTGTACGTTGTGTCGTCCTGCACCTCATGTGACCATCTGATTGACTTTCCATCACTAAATATTACAGGAATCCGTTTCATTGTGTAGAAACTGAGTTCAGTAAAGCAGGTGTTCACCGTGTGACTTCGGTACAGCGGACTTCGCTGAAGCTCCAGGTGTTCCCGGAGGCGGGGCCCGGTGGGCGGGGCCTGACCCTGGAAGCTCCGCCTGTACTCTGTCTCCATGGGAACCGGGTTTCTCCTGAAGGCGGGGGCGGACCTGCCGCCGGAGTTCAGCACCTGCAGGAGGACGGAGTCAAAGTTCAGTCAGCAAAGAGCCGACAGTCTGTTGGCCTGTTGGAGGAGCTCCACCTGCTGGACGCTCGGAGGAGCTACAGGGTTCAAAGTTGTGGAGAAAGTTCAGGCTTAACTCTGAGGTTTAAAGGACTATTACGGTGTTTTACTTCCAATAAAGTGTCCAGTCTGCTTCTCAATACTAGAGATCTTTTAATTTAATCATCTATTTAATCAAATGAGTGAGATGCAGCAACAGGAAACACTTAATTTTTTACCAACTTGGATTGTTGCTTATTTTATTTGTGCTGCAATTTAACGCTGTTTAAGCTTTAAAGTCATGTTTTCATTCAAGATCATGTTTATATGTCTGCAGGGCAAGAAAGAAGCTCACACGCTGCTGTTTGGTGCAGTTTAGCCTCAAATTATAGATTTTTATTTGTTTCTTTTTGTCTGGAAATGACATAAACAAGTGTGTCGAGGCACTTTATTGCTCTGCAGGCGTCTATGTGTCGATATGATCCTAAAACAGAGACCGAGGAAGCAGCAAATCCTCGCCGTTCTTCACTATGTTTTTATATTAGTTTTTTTTACTTGCTTCCAAAACCGAAAAACCAAACAAGGGTTTTTATCAGAATCCGAAAGCTTTCAGTGCGTAACAGCAACATGTAGAAGAGTAATACAGGAATCATGAGTCAGTGCTTCTCAGAAATGTGTCTCAGAATGAAAGTGGATGTGAAATCACTGAATTCATCCTCCACATGAAAGTCGTTTGGTTCTTATCATTTATACTTTACAGAACGTGTCCGGACCACATCTGTAGGTTTGTTCAACAACCTTGTTTTGCTGTGTGATGGTGATTTATTTTAATACTGAATCAGAAACTTTCATCTGTGCAGTTTTTACTGATTTACTTCGATAGCGTCTCTCTTGAAGCAGTGGTACTGATATTTGCAGTTTTTGTTGATGGTTTTGGCTGCAGCAGCTCCGTTATGTTCAGATTGTGTTAAGATTTAAACTTCTAACGTTGGTTTCGGGGTTATAGTTGTGCTGCTCTGTCCCTGTTTGTTAATGGTCTTCTCTTGAAACACAGCTGCTGCATCCAAAACCACGTCGCTATCTGCAAAACATTCTGCAAATTCAGCTTTTATACGTTACTTTCTTGTTTTGTGTGAGTTGTTGTGCAGGTTTCTTACTCAGTTGTCATCATGCATCACAAATAAATTACAAATGTGTGTTTTCGTGGCCTAAAATCAGAACAGCTAACGTTTAAATGATCAACATGAGGAGGTGTCAGTCGTTTCTCACCTGCTCTGCGCTCAGTAAAGGCGAAGCAGTCGACTTCTTCCAGCCGAACTGTCGGCGATACTCTGACCTGTGACCTTCGGGCCGAAGCCCCGCCCTCCATCGCATCACTCGATCCACCTGCAGCAGGAACAGTCGGTCAGACGGAGGATTTCAAAATAAAACGTTAAAGCGTTAACACAGGTTCTGGGGAGGCTCACCTGCTGCTGTCGCTCAGCCGCTGCTGTCAGAGGTTGGCTGGGCTGTGATTGGCTGTCGGACTGGGAGGGGCGGGGCTTCCCTGAGGAGAACAGCAGAACTGAACCAGAACCTCGAAAACAAATCTGAGATGCTGATACATAAAACTGACTTTATCAACGTCACGATTCAAATTGTTTTCTGTGGATCAGCTGCAGAAAATGAGGACTTTGATGGAGCAGTCTGACGTGAAATCCTGATTTTCTTCTCACTGCTGCCCCTGTACTGAGCTAACTGATAAATAAAGACTCTTCGTGCATATTTACCAGATTTTCTCTCAGCTGTTGGTTCTGCTGCTGGTCTGGGTTCTGGAGGTTCTGGAGGTCTTGGGTCTGCAGCAGGTCGAGGTCTGGCTGGGGGTTCAGGAGGCGTCGACGGTTTGTGGTTCGTTTTCTTCGTGTCGGCCGAGCGGCTTCTGGACGCTGGAGAGTCAAAGAATAATTTATCTGCAAGGTGTAGCACGCTAATATGCTAATGCTAGCGTAAGAACGTATTTATAGCTTTTATACTGACGATAAATAAATGTGGTTCAACTAAAAAATGTTTCACTAACATCTTTAACACAACATCTGACTGGATTTCTTTAACTTGTTTGTGTCATTTCCAGCCAGAAGAATCAGAATTTGACATAATTTGGGGCTGAACTGTTTTAAAAGGCAGCTGATGAACGTCTTCTTTGACCTGCTGACATTTAAACACGATGGAAGGAAATGTTCAGAATGAAACCTTCAGTGTTTCTCTGTTATGTTAAATTATAGCTTTTGTTGATTTACTGTAACGTTAAATTATAGTTCATTTTCTAACTACTACCTAACATTTTGGGGATATTTGACTCTATCAGGTTGATGTGTTGCTTCTTGGACCAACAGAACCAGAACCGTCTTCGTCTCATCTCAAGCCAGTGACAACGTGATCAAATCAGCTTCAAGGCGTGTCTGCTGAGACTTGAACCAGACTGGATTAAAAACCTGGAGCCTCTTCTTGCTCATCTACAGATCTACAGTTCTAGTCGATCGTCCTACCGGTGTGAGCACGAGTAGCCGGTTCTGAGTTCTTCACGTCCGCTGGACAAAACAAAGAGCTGCAGGACCGGGCCGGACCAAGCGGACCGAGCTTCCTCCGGCGCTGAAGTCGAGGTTCTCTGGTGAGTCCTGAGAGACAAAAAGGGTCAGAACAGGACGGTTTATCTCTGCAGGAGATTTTAGATTTTCAGATTTTCGTGTTTCCAGCGTCTCACTTCTTACCCATGTGATCGGAGCGAAGGCCGGCCAGCGGCGTCCAGCGCCGAGGAGAGACGCTTCTGGACCGAGGCGCCCCGTAACTCTTCTGATATTCACTCTGACACTGAAACAAACATGCAGCGGTTCTGTTGGACTCTGTTGGTGCTGCTCAGCCGGATCACTTTGGTTTTTGCTCTGCCAATAAGAATCTCCACTTTTATGTGTTCACTGCAACCATCTGTGTTCATATTTTCATCAACGCACTGTTTAACTGACAGCAACAACATTTTCCTGTCAGATGTCATCGATCCATCTGGTTAAACTAAACGTAAAAACTGCTTTTTTTGGGTTTTTTTGTTTGGAAACAAACAAATAAATAGACTGTGTAATTCTTGAAAAATACAAATGGACCCTGTTGAACTGATTTTTCCATTTTCAGCTTTGAAACAACCAAAGCAAAAGCAGTTAAACTCACACAACCTTCTATTTTAACCTGAGAACTGCACATTTTAAAAGTTATTTCAGAGTAAAATGAATATAAAGGTCATCCTACTTTGCTTCTCTGAACTATTTATTTGATTTTCAGCTAAAACTGGGCAGTAAACACACTTGGCTTCATATGTTTGGTAGTAATCTGGCTTTAAATATTCCAGGAGAAGAAATGCAGAGAAAGTTCAGTCATAAAGTAAATTTATATAAACACAATACTGTATAATATTCAACATAGTGGTGGAAATGTATATAAAACGTAATACTGTAGGTTTGAACTTTAATATTTAAAATATATTAAACAATGGATTTTAACCTTAATATTTAAACTAGTGCAGTAAACATTTTGTCTTTGCTGCTAAATGAGCTGTAAATACAGAACATGGTGACTTTACTGGACTTCTTTAACACCCAACCATCACATCTGGGCCTGAATAAAGTAGTTAAACATGAAACTACTCATTAAAGTACCTCAGAGTGTAACGGAGTAGAAGTACTCGTTCCTCTGCGGCTCCGTCGTGCTCACATGAAGCTGGTGGATTAACTGATTAAACATATTAATCCGGACTCTGCTGTCTCGTGCAGGTTACTGAGCAAACCGGTTACCAGTCGGGTTAACCAGCACTAACTAACCCACCCACCAGCTAACTAACTACCACTCTATAAACCGGTGCACTTTAGTAGCAGGTGTTCGTTAGCATCACCGTGTTTAGCTAGCCCGCTGCTAAAGCTAACACCTGTGGTTTACCTTGAAGCGGACGGTCATGGCGCTCCCGCTGCGAACCAAACACCGCGAGAACTCACTCCGCCGTCATTCCGCAGCGGGCCCAGTTCGTAAACTAGCAGGTTGACGGCGCAGAAACTCGCTAACTAACTTGAACGAACCGCGCTAAACTAGCTCCGCTTCTCCTCTCGGCTTCGGTGACAAGCTGCAGCCGTTGCCATGGCAGCTCAGCGTCGTGCGCAGGCGCAGTAGCAGCAACACGGTTGACAGCTGACGTCAGCAGAAAGTCTTCCTGATTGCTTTTTTATTTTTTTTAACGTTTTGAAATTAATTTAATTTGAATAAATCAATTTGTAAACACGTATTTTCATTCAATGTGAAATAAATAAAAAGATTAAATAACAAACGAATTAATATTCATATTAAATAAATACACTTAGTAAAATTAAATTGATTAAAAAAAAAAGAAGCAATAAATCCACAAATAAATACAAGAATTAAATATAAATGTTTCTGTCTTGAAAAGGACACTTTAAAATGAATCCCTCTGTATATATAAGGACGTAGTTATTTATTTGAAACGAAACTTTTGACTGTATTCCTTAATTTATGATCCAAAATAATGTAATAATTTAAGTTTTAAAAATTACAGTTCATCCTAAATAAATGTGTATCTGATTATCTTAAATTTGTAAACAAAAAATAACTGCCACTGTAAAAAAAAAACATTTTAATATATTACAGTATTGAATTAAAAGTAGGTGAATGTATATAATTAATATTGAAATAGTCTTAACCTAAAATTAGTCAGACACATTTGAAAATTATAGTAAAAATAGCATAAAAACTCTCAATATAATGTCAAACAAATGCTCATTTTTCATTTTGATTATATTTTTACACGTCTACGCTGCAACAATAATAATAACAGGTGACACTATTACCTTTAAATCAGGCAGGTAGCTTCATATAATAAATAATATACTGCAGTAGGGTCTTAACTTCAATATTAAACTTGTTCTGACACACGTTGTGTCTTTGTGTTGTCTTAAATCTGGTATATAACTCACAGTGACTCAGTTTTCTTAATATTCTGTGGTGTGATTTGTCTGTTCTTGGCTGTAATTGTTTGTACGTCGCTCAGAAAGACTCCACATCGCAGGTTGCTGTTACAAAATTGCACCACTTTTATTCATTTAAGGCTTTTTAGTTTTAACTTTACATTTGGCTTCACCCCCCTCCCCTCCCCTCCTCCCCCCTGCTTGCCTCCCGCTGCTGCTGTGGCGTTTCTGTACTGGAAGAAAACCAGTTCAAAGCCACCTCGGTACCAGTGCGAAGCTCCCACCGGCCGGGCCGCTGGGACCTTCCACCCGGTACGTCACCGGCTGAACTGGTTTCTTTTACATTTCACTGGTCGTCATGCCATACGGAGAAAAAAGAAGCAGATTTGTTTCAGTCACGGAAAATCGGTTCTCCTCGTGGTTTGCGTTCGGCTGCAGCTGCAATCGTCACGCTGGAGCTTTAAAGGAACATTGTTGGAGGATCCAGTGCTGACATTCAGGGTCAGGATGTGATTAGCTTAGCTTAGCACAAAGACTGGAAACAAAGGGAAACTGCTAGCCGGCAACATCTCAGATTAAGCAGTAGATATATGTTCAATATTAACAGTATAAAAACTGATTATAACTGATTATAATGTAGCTGTAAGCAGCGATAAAGACATTTTATGTGTTCGATTCAAACTTTTTTTTCTCCAAAGTCACATTTTATGTGAGAATATAAAACAAGGAAACACACTTGAAGGCTCGTATGTGCTTACAACGACATTATAATGTGTTATTACATGTTTACACACTGCTAGTTAATGCTCAATAGGGGAACAGAGCAGAGTGTGACCTGCTAGAACAACCGTTAAGGCCTCGGTATGCTTCAGCTGAACCGTTATCAGCGTCTTTTTCTGGGTTTGAACCAGTTTCGTCACTTTCAGATGAAGACAAATCGACGACCGCACCGACGTCACAGTTTGAGGAACGACTGCAGACGTGTGAAATTAAGGCCAAGTTTGCTTTTTTTCTCTTTTTTTTCATCCATTCTTCACTCAAACTGCTTCCGTTCGAGTGCAGAGTCACAGAAAACGTCTTCACCGAGAGCTCACAGCTACAACAACTTTGACATCAGTGAAAATCACATTTTACTTCTTCTGAAGCATACGGACGCTTTTAGATCTGCCAGACGTCTAAAATAAAAACTGTCTGAGCAGCAGAAAAAATGACGAATGCCGCTGCAGCCTCGGTGTGGAGGCCGGACAGGACTGATTGCAGCATCGGCTGGGCTAAACAACCGTTGATCCCCGACAAAAAAAACGCAAGAATTTGGTCTGAACATCACTGCGCTGTCAATAAACACCAAATAAACTATTTATAAAACCAGTTGGAAAGAAGTACAAGGACATTTTTAAGCATTCATCTCCTGCAAATGAACAACTGACTGCACGAATCCACAACATTACTTATTTTAAATTAATTTAATCTACATGATGAAGCATCTATTTCATTATTTTACTAACGAGGTATTTATACATTCAGAATCATTTTTAAAGTAAAGAGCTAACGTGACGTTAAACATGAGTTTTACTTGAATGTTTCTGTGTGTTGCTCAGTTAACAAACACTTAATAATGTCCTCATATCGCTTTCCAATGACTTGACAGTGTTCTGCTAACCATCAGTTAAATGTTTAGAGGTGCTAATTGGAGTCGAAAACAGTCACAGAACACTTCTAGAGATGTCGGCGCTGCTCGTCAAAGGGGCTCATCGCTGCATTACTGGGACTCATAAACACTTAATTTCCAAAACTACCAATTAAATGTTTACATACTGTTTACAAATGCTAAAGTCTTTCTCTCGTAAGACTAAAAAATACGGTTACAAAACACTGATCAACGGTAGGTTTTGGCTCGGTTAAAGTAACAACGGGGGGCGTTCTCTGCCCTCCGACCACCAGAGGCAGTAGCGAGCATCTGGCGTTCAGATCTACGGGAATGAATCGTCATCGCCCCGCTGAGCTGCAAACAGACCTTCGGCCCGGAAGCTTCTGCTCGGCATGCAAACTGTCGCAGCACCTCCTGGAGGTCAGACTGAGTACTGACGGGAACATCAACATGCTACATGACTGAAGGAGGAGAACCAGAGTACCGGCAGCGGTACCACGCCGTACCGCAGTACTCCTGATAGTACAACACTGTGCACAGCAGTACTCACAGAGGTCGCCGACACACCGCCTCCGTACGCCGAACACTCTCACATTACAAACAGAAGACGGGCATTCAAAGGCTTCCTGTTGCGTCATAGGCCACGCCCCTCCACTGCAAGGGGCGGGGCTCCCGCTTTAAGCCCAACCCCCTCTGGTTGGTCCCAACTTCAGCCGTGCTACAGAAACACCGATATTTTTAATTCTTCCTCAACTCATGAGAATAGCGCGTCAGCGGTATTTCATGCTAACAGTTTAGCAAGCTAGCTTGGAGATTCTTCCGCTCAACCAAGTGCATGCTAAAGCGTTAGCATGACGTACCACGAGATGACGAGAGCGTGGGCGACCGACTCTGATGTTTTCTGGCAGAGTCTGGTCCTCCACACCTGGATGGTTCGTACGGCCTTCAGTGGACCGATAAAGCCTCTTTCAGACAACAACACCTTTCTGTTAATCTGACGGCATCCGAACACGTCGGCTTCACGTCCAAATCAGAAGCACGTTGTCGAGGTCGGATCAGGAAATATTTCACTACGGACTCTTCAAACTTCAGCGCCAGTACGAGTCCAGGAGACACAGATTGCTGCCCAATCACCAAAATCTCCTAATAAGACAAAGCCTTGAAGTCGGAGTCTGTAGCGGGCCAGGATTAGTATTAGGTATTAGTTTAGATTTAGTTTCATGTTTATTAGTGCATTATTATGCGTTATAATAGACACTAGACTTATGTTGTCTCATCTCCGTCACTGTGGAGTCTGAATGAAGCCATGAGGGACGTTTGAAGCGACCCGGTTATGAACGACAGGATGCCGTCACTTTAACAGCCTGGTGACGCAGTAACGTGTCTGAAAAGGGCTTCGTTCGGTGTTTTCCACTCAGATCCGTTGCGTTAATAAAATTAATAATCATGTAATAACGTGGTTAACACCACAGAAACAACACTGGCCGTCTCGCTCAGTAAATACAACACAACCCCGCCGCCGGGCCACATCGGTCGTCACAGAAACTGGCCCGGTTCGTCGTCGCTACGCAGCTCACGTACAAACACACTCACTCACAAACACACTCATAAACACACACACACTCAGAGTTAAGGACCAGTGTGAGTCTGCTGTCGAAAGGCAACATGTCCGCCCTGAGCAGCAGGTCAAGGGTCAGCTCACAATGTTGCTAAGCTAACAAGCTAACTCACAGCTGCTAACACTCGTTAGCGTCAGCCTTCATCACATTCCCAGTTCATCCCACCGGCATCCATCACAACATGTTCACGCTGCTGATGCTTCAGGACTCCTCACTGTTTACATACAGCGTGTTAGCATCATTAGCTTTTCTTTTAAGTGGCAAACTAACTTGCCCACACCCTCGCTCCTTTAACATTTTAAGTGTAGACAAAATGCTAGCATTTCCTCACAGGTCATACATTCCATTAGCTATTACGGCTAGAAGCTAGCCAGGAAGTAGCCAAGCTACCGTTCATTTCTTTATAGATATTCTAATAACACTGACACCAATAAACACAAACAGCACGACAAAACCGTCATTACTCACGTTTCTAATGTAGCCCACAGCTACACATTACTTTCTTTAGAAGAATGCTAACAAACTGCGCGTTAGCACAGCTAGCATTCACTACTACCAGTGCTTTTGATTAGCTTTCGGGACTAGCAGCTAGCCTGCCGCCATCACAGTTTCCTTTGGGGAGGCACTGATGGTAACACCCCACAAACAGCAGCGTTGCTCAAAATGTTCCCAATACGTTCCTTTCCTTGCTTTCAGGCTAACAAATAGAACAACGCCATCTTCAAGAAAATCCTAACAACGGCTCCACAGTGTGTTAGCATTGGCAATATTTCCTGCTAACAATGTCGTCTGCTACTTCGTACTGCCGCTACGAGCTACAACCAATGACTAGCATCAGTCTCATTAGGAATACACTGTTCACGCTATTAATGCTAACACCCCGCAGACAGCATCCGCTCACGACGTTCGACTGTGTTCTACGACAGCATGTCAGATGAGTTAAAGCTGCATTATCTCTACGTTCAACAGTATTTATAATTAAGAGCACATAAAAGCTAATATTGTTGAAAGGCTACGTTGAAAATTCAGGCCCCAAAGTAGAAACTCAATGCGACACAAGTTAGAAAACCTTTGATTGGTGAAGTCCACCTGTGGTTTCCAATCAGCCCGACTGCATGAGCTGGGTAATAAAATGAGCCGAGACCAGCAGTGTTGGGTCTACTGGCTGCTCACATGGAAAAGAATTGGCAGAGGAACTAAAACATCTGACTGTGACTTCACATAGATGGTAAAGGATCCATTAAGATCAACTAAACCCAGTGCAGCCCAGTGTGAGCAGTAACCAGAAGGTCCAGAAGGAGCCATAGTAGCTCTGATCAGGGCTGCAGTGGTCGTCCTCCTACAATGACTCCACGGACAGTCGACTTCTTGGCACAGGGCTTATCAACGTAGACCAGAGTTAGTGTGAAGCTCAGACAGTGAAGGACACTTCAGAACATCAGCCTCTATGGACGGAGGACCAGAACCAAACCTGGCTGCTGCTCACAGCTCAATGTGTTGGGCTCAGATGGAGTCCAGATGTTTGAACCTGACCAGGACCACCACAGTGGATGGACATGCAGCGTATTTACAAAAACAAAAGCTCTGAATGCTACGACTGACTTTGTTGTATTGAGCTCCTACTGCGGGGCCGGTACTTTTATAATAACTCTAAACCAAAACCTGCCGTTCACCTGGAATAAACGCAGCTACGATGAGGTGGTACGATTTTCAATTATTAGACGTTTAGGTGTAGCTCACACCTCGTCGTTTGCTCCACCTTCAGACCGACGCCTACAGCTAGCTTGTTTACGAGATGCTAACCACGCTAACCTCCAACGCTTTCTCTCTGGATGTTGTCGATTCTCACTCAGTTAGTTGTGTGCTAAGCTAAATTAGCTTAATGCTATCAACACGGTGAGCTGACACCACGACCTGCCGCTACCACCCCAACCCGCCCCGCCCCTCCCCCACCCAAAAATCAAAATCAAAAACATTAAATGACTTTTATATCTTTTCACACAGAATTATAATCAGAACCACTGTAATAATAATAATAATAATATTCACTGTATGGATCCACAGGTTCGACCGGAGCCACGGACGCTCGGAGTCGCTCGTGTTCGCCGCGCCGTCGCCGCGGCAACAACACGGTCGAGCCGGGCGTCCGTGGCTCGGCGCCGCCGGAAAACAAGTGAAACGAAAGCAGGAGAAAAGGAAAGAGACACTTAAAATCAAAGAAGCAAGAAGCCACTCCCCAGCGCAGAACGGCCTAGCAGAGAGCATGATGGGAACCGCGGTTTAAATCTGGGCAGCTGTTTGGAGGAACCCCACATTCCTGCAGACAGCAGAAGCTCCACCATCATCATCATCATCATCATCATCATCATCATCATCGTCGTCGCCGCCGCCATCGCAGTCTTTTGATGTTTGGTTTTAATGTTTCCAAGGCAACAGTCTCCAGTAGACAGTGTGTTGAGGGGATGGGGAGGGGGATGTGGTCGTCATGGTAACAGAGGTCAGAGGTGGCTGATGTTGATGATGACATGGCTGTGTTAAAGGGGGCGTGGCCAGCTGGAAGATGTCCTGTGATTGGTTGGTTGTTGGTTGTTGGTTGGTCGAGTGAGCGGAGCGCTGCGGAGGGAGAAGCAGAGCGCGTGAATGCTAACGTGCACGACGACGACACACGTGTCCGTGACGACGTGCGTGTGCGCTGAACACACCTGTCATTAGAGCAGCTGGCAGGTGGACTTTTTGCGAGTTTTCCCCGGAGCTGGACTCTTCCTGTTGATCTGTCGGACGAGGTCGTAGAAGATCTGCAACGGACACAAGGGACGGGTTCAAAACCGAACAAAGAAAGCACAACATGAAGGAAGTCGTTTAGTTTTCATACTTTAAGCCCATAAACGTTCCCGTCAGTGGACTTTCTAACGTGTTTTGCCGTCAGTTATTTTAGTCGGTATTGAATATCTGAGGAGGCCTGAGCAGACGTGAAGGCGCGTTTTCACCTCGTTGACGTTAATCTTGCTCTTGGCCGAGGTCTCCAGGAAGGCGCAGGAGTTCCACTGGCGGGCGAGGCCGATGCCCGACTCCTTGGCCACCACGCGCTCCACCTCCAGGTCGCACTTGTTTCCAACCAGGATCATGGGAACCTGCAAACATTCAAACAGAACCCGTAAATACCTGCAACACGACGTTCTGATCCACGACGATGAATCTGTAGCTACGGAACGTTTTTAAAATGATTTCCAAATAATTAATTTATTTAATATTTTGTTTGTTTGAAATAAATTAGCATTTTTTAAATTTGTTACTTGTTGATTTTCTTGCTAAGAATTAATGTAAATTGTAATTTTCTTCTTTATTACAGTTTTTAATTTCAAATACATTTTAAATATATGCATTTATTTATTGTATATTTTTGTTTGTTTGCTTATTTACGTATAATAAATCTGTTCAAAGCCTTCAGTTATTTATTTTTTAAATAAATAAAACACAGAATTTTAAATTTAGGACGATTTTATTGCTTAAAAAACATTTCTAGTTTGTTGACAATCACGTTTAAATGTTTAGGTACTTTCTGTTAAAATGTTTGTTTGTTCTGTTGATTTCAAATTACATTTATTAGCCTTTTTTTAATTTAGAATTCAGTTTTGTTTGTTTGAAATACATTTCTAACTTTAAATGTATTTATTTGTTGTTTCCTTAAAATTGATTTTGAGTTTTAAAGCTTTTATAAACAGCTTAATTTTACATGTGCAGATTTATTTCTCCCCATTTTTGTTTGTTTAAAATGAAGGTTTGATTTGATTTTTAAAAAATTATTCATCAATATGCTGGAAATAAATTTCAAATTCATTAATTTATTTATGATTTGCTTGTTAATAAAACAATATATTTCTATTTCTTCCGTCCTCACCATCAGCTGTGTTATGAAGCGTCCAGCAGGGGGCAGCAGAGCTCAAGATTTATATCCAGGCTGCTGAACTGAAGCACTTGGACAGAGATATCAGATTTCCTCTGACCGGGTCGTAGCACTACGTCTTGGTTTGTAAGAACAAATGATTCGTCTACAAACCGCCGACGGCTAGCTTAGCTTAGCATTAAGGCTGGAAAGGCTTTTTCTGGTTTGTTCCCTTCACACAACAACCAAAGTGTAAAAATGACCCAAAAAGAAACGAGCACATTTTGCAAACTCCTAATTTAAAGGTTGAATCTGTGATGCTGTGTTTTCATTGGAGGCTGTAAATGTATTTAAACGCCGACGTTGTGGTACGTTGGCGTGTAAACTAAGTTTAAATCAAAGTCAATGACGTTTCACTCTGAGGCTCGGTTTAGAGTCGGTCCTGAGGTCCGTCTTACGTCCTCGGTGTCCTTCACTCTGAGGATCTGCTCTCTGAGGTCCTGCAGGTCGTTGAAGGTGGACTGAGCGGTGATGGAGTAGACCAGAGCGAAGCCTTGGCCGTTCTTCATGTACAGGTCCCTCATCGCCGTGAACTGCTCCTACAGAACCACAGACAGACAGACGGGAGGTCAGACGGACGGACAGACGGTAACCAGAAATACGTGGACGCTGGTGGGTTCTTACTGTTCCTGCCGTGTCCAGGATCTCCAGCATACACTGCTGTCCATCGACCTCCACTTGCTGCAGACACACAAACACACAACATTAACGTTTATGTCATAAATTTAATCCTAATCTCATCATTGACATATTACATGAACATAGTTAGGTTTTATATCATAATCTTGATTTATTGTTTATTTACTCATTTTAATTACCTCCTCAGTCGTTTCACATTAACTCATAAGTTTGTGTTATTGGTTACAAATCTGTGCGAAAAAGCGACAAATAATTAAAGCTAAAAGTAGTAAAAAGCTCAAATCATGTAATTAAATGGGTTGAGTAAAAGTGCTGATTTAATTGTTATATAAAATGAATATGTTATTAGCTAAAACAATAAATTAAATGGTTAGCGTAACGCAAGAAACAATTAGCTAACATAATGGGTTAGATAGCTTAAAGGAATATATAGTTAGAAAATGGATTAAACGCTCAGTTAAAAGTAATAAATAGCTCGTTAAACTAATCGGTTAAATAATTAGCTAAAATAATGTATTAGCAGCTAGCCGAAAACAATCAAGCTCAAAGTAATGAATCGCTAAGAGTAAACAGTTAGCTGAAAACGTAACAAGATAAATAGTTAGATACAGATTAACTTCAGCTAAACGTGATGGATGAACAGTTAAACAGTTAACCAGGTATTGGTTATAGGTTAACAGCTGGTTAATGGTTAACAGTATTATCAGGGAATAGAAGAAAAAAAAGGTTAAAATCATGAGTTAAATGCACCAAAATACACAGATGTGTTGAACTTTACAGGCAACAAATATGTTTGTAATGTTAAACATTTACTGATGATTCAGTTTAAAGTAACACATGTTAAACATTAAAGCTGGAGGTGGGTTCCTGTACCTTCCTGTAGGAGTCCTCTATCGTCGGGTCGTATTTCTCCACAAAGATTCCCTGAACGAACTGGACAGTCTGGACACACAGAGCACAAGTAGGGCAGCGTTAATGGAGCTCTGTTCGGCTGCCTCCATTGGAACTCATCAGAATGGAATTAACGCGACACACTGACACGTCTCCATTATACCGTCTGGAGTGAAGCGCTCCATTGTGGCCGGGCCGACACCACGGCGGCGCTGAACTGGACATCATTCACAGAGCCTTCAGGCTCGGCTCGTCTTTGGGGGGAATTTGGGTCGAAATACTCTGACGAGCTCATGATTAAAGAATCGAACACAATCTGAAGCTCAAATGTGGGGAAACGAGTCTCAATAATTCCAATGTTTCTAAAATATTTATTATTATTTTAACCAAATTACAAAGGAAACAACAAAAAAAAAGTAGCTTTTTCATATTTAATAATGCTGCTAAAGTGTATATTTGATTTATAAATAGAGGCAGAAAGAAACGTATTTATATCTGTGGATGTATTTAAGTCTATTGTACATTTATTCAACTAAGTGCATTAAAGTTTATTAAAACGTCCTTTTTATGGTTGACGTGTTTTATGTTATAATAATAATCATAACAATAACAGTCATCATCATTAAAAAATAACATTCAAAAGCATTCTTGTTTGTGCATATTATTGAATATTTTTTAAACATTTTTATATTTAATTTTGATTTTCAATCTTTATATTACTTTGCTATTCATTTAAATATTTATCAAATTAATTTCTATATTTTTATTTTTTGCGTCCATAAGAAACTCAGTTTTCTCTTTTTTATTTTCAAATTAAAATATCTTAGTTTATATATCATTCATATATAGTCAGTTCTTAAGGTCTTCGCTTCACCATGTGAAGCTCTATAACTGCTCTACACAAACAAAATAAAATTGAATGTATTGATTGGTTACTCCTGGGTGGGACTATTTTCTTCAGCGTATTAATCCACGTTTGGTGCTATTTAACCGTATTTAACTGTGTTGTTTTGGTACAACACTGAAGCCTTCAGTCTGTTTACAGGACGGTTTAAGCATCCATTTGTTGTTGTTGTTGTTTTTTTCCCCTCACATTTATCGACGGCGAGACAAACAAGAAACGACACCAGACGTGTTTTCCGACACAAACAGCTGAGTGGCGGCTTTAGAGACTTACCAGAGCTGACTTGCCGACGCCTCCTGATCCTAAAACAACCAGTTTGTATTCACGCATCCTGACTGTCTGTCTGCTGGGCGAGAGAGAGAGAGAGAGAGAGAGAGAGAGAGGGGTCAGTCCTGGACATCATTAAGCAGCAGCAGCCAATCAGAGAGCAGCAGCAGCACGGGAAGCCCCGCCTCCTGCTACACCTGGAGAACTGTCATTACAAACGTCTGTAATTCTACATGTGTGAGGTTTTCATGTTTTCAGCCAAACACAACGTCAACACAATCACCAGACGACTCACACAGAAGCTTTAAACACTCCAATGATTCGGTTTTTTGAAAAGGCGGAGCTGATTCTAGTCCAAGAAACGAGGTCCAGAGGTCGCAAACTTCAAGCTGGTCCCCTCACCAACAGCTGACCACATGGCTAATGGATAATGTTATTTACATTATAGGACAATCTGATTATTGTTTTCTTGATTAAGTGCTTGAATGCTTTGTTGTTAGATTTACGTATGTCGACTGTAGTGGACCGAGAACGGAGCCCTGTGGTACTCCATGACCCAAAACTCTCTGGTGAAGTTGCTTTTTTATGTATTTAGGTCGCTAAATGCTTCAGTGCAGTAACAATAATAATAATTTTGACTATGAGAAAACTAAAAATAGTTCAAATGTCTTCTGTCGTCTAAAACCCAAAGATATCAATTTGCCAGAACAGAAAAGCGTAAAATCTGAAGCAGCTGGAACCTCATCTTTAACGTAGGAGCTGGTCGGAGGTCATGAACCTCCTCAGACGTCTTCGTCTTGGTCCCGCTGATGCTAAACTCCCACAATGCTCTCTGCAACATTAACTATTTGTAGGCCGAGTCAGTGCTTCTCAAACTTTCTGAACCCCTAAGCTAACATGAGTTTGTGTTCATGACCCCGATTTGAATTTTTAATACAGCATGAATAAAAACGTTGTTGTTCAAGCCTTAAAAACTAATGTGTTTGTTCCATAGATGAATCTCTTTATATTAATTTTCTCTTAAATGAATGAACTGAATTTATTTTGAACAAATGAAAGTGAAAAAAATAGAAAAACAAAAAAGAAAAAAAAAGAATAATAACAATATCGCATAATCAAGTCATAATATTAACAAGTTAAAAAAAAAAAGAGCAGGCACAAGTAGACACGTTTAATTTTGACAGTCCTAATATACATTTATTTGATAAATGTAGGCTTTATTTATGTTTTTATTTTTTTGACAATAATCTGGCGACCCCCTGAAATTATCTTGGGACCTCCATGGGGGCCCCGACCCCCAGTTTGAGAACCACTGGTCTAGGTGACCACCTCCTCAGGTCTCTACAGGATTAAACATCCAAGATCTTTATCTTTTTCTGCCTTATCGGTTAATTCAGAAACTCTTTTCAGCAGCAATACTTGTGCAGATCTATGAGGTCCCTGTTGCCCCTCGAGCACACCAGCTCACCATAAGACAACTCTATGATTCAGTCACATACGCTGGAACCAGAACCAGAACCAGAAAGCCCCAAACTGAAAGCTGACAGGATCAGTTCTTTAGGTTTCTTAACCCTGGAAGTCTGAATCTGTGTTTCTGTCGTCGTGAAACTGCAGGTTTAGGATGAAAACACTAACTCACTGTGTTGATTTCACTCCTGCAGGATAAAAAAACGCCACCTGAACATGTCAACGAGCTAAAAAAGAAAAAGGAGGCTTTAAATAATTAAAACAGTCGGTGATTCATCTCGTTAATGAACTTTTAGACCCGGTCCGGCCTCCAAGCAGCCCTTTGAAGATCAAACCTGAGCTGACGACGAGCAGCAAACACACTCTGGATGGATGAAGATCTCCTCCCTCTCACCGGGAGGTCATAATTACCCAGCATGCACCAGGAGGGCCACTTAACCAAACCCGGCGGGGTCACGTGATCGCACAGCTGGCGCTGATGTCACAGCTGCGGAATGCTTCCTGGTTACGGTTGCCACGCGCCGACGTGTGTGCGTGTGCATACCAGTCGTGCCTCTCTGAGCGTGTGCAGCCCCCGGGTGTCACGGCAACAAGAAGCAACACGACGGAGACGACAAACACACACACACACACACACACACACTTCTGTCTTTGTGAGGACCCTCGCCGACACTCACGGGTCCGACTCGGCCCTGAAACGAGTCGCACTCGTAGGTTTTAGCGGTTCCTGTCACCGGTTCAATCAATCAGACATCAGGAGTCAAAACTGCAACGACGAGACGAAAATAAATTACAACGAATCAGCAGATGTGTCAAACCGACAACTTCCTGCTTACATCAAAGTAAATATTTTGTGGTTTCGGACCGTTGTTCTGACAGAACGAGGCTTTTATGGGCTGTGATTCTGCTGGTTATCGGCGGTTAGTTTAATAAATACTGAGCACACTGATCCATAGTCGTCGTTATCTGAAGCCTTGTTTAAAAACCCTGAATCACTCGTGCACTGCTGAGGAAAAAGATTTAAAAAACAATCATTTTAAAATACTTCTGACATTAGTCTGAGCTGATATAACATTAAATATACGACTCATTATGTTCAGGATTTGACTGTATTCATGTTTTCTTTCTTGGACCTTTTTATCTCCAGCAGGAGCTCTTTGGTCAGATAAGAAAAATAAAAATAGAACGATTTTTTTGTACCTTAACTTTCAATCACAACTACCCACGAAGACGCTCCATAAATGTTTACATGACGTCTAAATGTATGTACTGTGAATGTTTTATGTGATAAAAATAAGAAAACACACAAGAAGACTAGAATAATGTTCACGTGGAGGAAAAAACGCCTTGATGACTTCTAACGTCATAAATACAACAAAAGGTCAAAACACGACTTACTGTGGGAGAAACACATGCAAATATAATAAAATATGATTTTATACTTCAAGGCAGTCATAAAGTATTTAATGATTAACCAACAAATTGTCTTTTTTATTAAATTAAAGACTTTAGAGATGTGCTCAAAGCAGGGACAGAGTAAAAAGCTTGTTGTGAAGATATTTACGGCTGTAATCAGTCCAACTGTATCCTGACAACGTCCTCACAGAGACACACATTAAAGCAGAGGCACACACCGAGCGTCTCATCTCCGCTAATGACGGCCTGCTGTGGTTACCGTGGTGACAGGATAAGTGTGCGGCGAGGCGGCTGTCGGGACCCAACGCTAACATTTCTGTCCAACTGCCACCTTCGTCCCCAGCGTGTTATTTTACCCACAATCCCCGGTTTCAACACCAAACGGAGTCATAAAGCGTCAGCCGGCCGTATAGCTGACGTCACCGGAACGTATTCGGTTCTGCAACACAACTAAAGTTCTGTTTACACGAGTCTCTGGTCCGATGAGCACAAAGCTGGAAGTCCTCTGGGTGACGAGTCATCGGGGGTTACTGGGACGTCACCACAGGTCTGACCCGTTCAGACTCCATGATTCTGGACCCCAAATCTGACAGAAAACAACTCCACCGACTGTAGCGTCTATAAACATACATTTAAAGAGAGTTCATTGGTTTAAAAAGCTAATATTAGCCTTTACAAGCATTGTGTGGGGAAACTGCTACAACAGACGCAGCTGTCGAAGTTCACAAACACTAAAGGTAACATGTCAGGAAGTCAAAACCGTCCAGGGTCTCCACTTCCTACAGCATCTACGGTGCCCTCAACGTATACACCCCTACAACACCTCCAGCACCTACAACATCTACGGTACCTAAAGCATCTACAGTACGTACCGTATCTATAGTAACTACAGCATGTATAGTAACCACATCTACAGCACCTACAGCATTACCAGTCCCTACAACATCCACAGTACCTACAGTATCTAAGGTACCTACAACGTCTCCAGTACTGTCAACATCTACGCTAGCTAAAGTAACTACAGCATCTATAGTCACTGCAGCACCTGTGGTACCTACAACGTCTCCAGCACTGATGACATCAACGGTACCTAAACCATCTACAGTACGTATAACATCTACTGTAACTACAACATTTTCGGTACCTACAGCATTACCAGTTCCTACAACATCCACAGTACCAACAGTATCAGTGTCTAAGGTACCTACAACGTCTCCAGCATTGACGACATCAACAGTACCTAAAGCATCTACAATACATTTAACATCTACCGTACGTACAACACCTACGGTACCTAAAGAACAGTACGTACAACATCTACTGTAAGTACAACATCTACGGTACCTAAAGCATCTACAGTAGCTACAACCTTTTCGGTACCTACGGCACTTCCACTACCCACAACACATACGGTTCCTACAGAAGATAAAACCTGGAGTTGTATCTGCCCTATTGTAAGCACAGGCATCAGCAGAGATGGATTTCGTGGCCTGGAGGCCTGAACAGGGCTTGCCTGGCTGCGTCGCTCTTCGGTTTGATGCAACAAGTCCGAACGAGTCCAACAAATCGCAGGAAGCCACGGATTGAAGCGGCAGAGGCGAGGCCAACGAAGTGAAAGCTGGAAGAGCTGAGATTCAGACGCCAAACTCGGACGACTGATCCGTTTCGTCCACGCTGAAACTTTTCACTTCTGAACTTCCTTCTGTGCAGCTTTTTATAACTTCTTCATACAAATCTGCGTCTACACGAGTATTACTGGATCTGGACTTCCCCCGAAACTTCCTGATGCAACACTTTGAACACAACAGGCCACCAGAGGCACAACAACAGCAAAAGTCAGAGCTGGTCTACAAGGTTAATTAAAAAGGCCAAAACAATCGTTATGTTTAAGAAAATGTTAACGAACAAGCACAGACCTCACAAAGCATTTTGACTTTATGGATAAAGCATCTTTCTAAAAAGGATTTCTCGTTATTTATCGATTTATTTACTTTGAATATGAGGTGTGGAGACATTATAGTGTTTTGCTACTTAGGACGCGTCTAAGAATCTGCATAATTAAGATTTAACACCTTTAATGACTTTTTAAAGAGAATTCAAAGACTGACCAAAATCATTTAAGCCTCATGTACGGGTTGATCGAAACTATAATTAGTGTTAAAGTTTAACTCGTTTGGTGACCCATGATTACTTATTGTTATGTCACATTTCCAGCTGCATATAACAATAAATCCTGATGACAAAACAACTTAAGAAATTAAAAATAAACATTTGCTGGTTCCACCTTCTTGAATGTGAACATCTGATGCTTTTCTGCAATAACAAAAATGAAATATCTTTGGGTTTTAGACGACACAAGACAAGACATTTTAACTATTTTTAGTTTTTTATAGTCTAAATTATTATTATTTTTACTGCATTAAAGCAGGAGTGATCTAACTACATAAAAAATCAACTTCACTAGAGAGTTTTTGGTCATGGAGTACCACAGGGCTCTGTTCTCGGTCCACTACAGTCGACGTATGTAAATTACTATACATCTAAAGACAAAGCATTCAGTCATTTAATTAAGAAACTAATGAGCAGATTGTTCTATAATGTAAATAACGGGACTATAACAACAGGACAGGAACTGTTTAAAAAGCTCCTTCACAACCAGCCAATGCAGTGAAGCCTTTCATTTCTTTTAATGCAGAGCTGCAATTTAATTAAACTAACTTTTGATAATTAAAATAACATATATATATATATATTTTTAAATGCTTATTCCGGCTTCATAAATGTGATTTTTTATGTGTCTATATGGTAGTAGATGGGACATCTGTAGGTTCTAGACAACAGGAGACACATCTGGAAGGTGTCTCAACAAAACGATGATTAAACTCATGGTCCGATTAATTAATAACAAAAATGATCCTTTTTTAGGTCCTTCGGACATAAACATGAACTTGTGAACATTTAGAAGTTCTGCTGCTGTTCGGCTTCCTTCCTGCAGCTCCTCTGGACCTCCACTTAATCTGGGTTTTGGACCGGTTCGTGCACTTGAGCCGCTTCCAGCCTGGTGTTAATCTACTGAAGTGAAGTTGTCTGAGCAGAGAGATGGACCGGCGGACCCGAGCCGAGCAGAACTAGGTGGGGCCTGTCAGAGAGTCTGCTGCTGACAGCACCAGTCCCGAGCCTCGGCGGTGCGCTGCCACAGACACACAGACACACAGACAGACACACAGACAGACAGACAGACAGACAGACAGACAGACAGACAGACTCCTACAAACTCAGTCTGTCACAAGTTTCTCTTTTTTTTTTTTTTCTTTCCTCCAGCAGAGCAGCGGGGGTTCCGCAGCTCTGTGGCCGCCTCAGAACGCTCCCTACCCGGGCAGCTCTGCCAGCAGGCCCCGCTGCTCCGGAGCACCGGAGACCAACGAGCGGACACGCGGACGGACACACGGCCGCCTCCAGCTGCCCGTGCCCGGCTACAGCCCCCTAACGGAGCCGCTGTCCGTCCGTGCGCCTCCCCGTCCCTCCGTCCGTCCGTCCGTCTGTCCGCCGGTCGCTCGCTTCCGCAAACCCAGCCCAGCTCGGCTCGGCTCGGCTCGGCTCGACACCGGCCTGCCGCCGCTCCCTGCCCGTCGCCCCCGAGGTTCGGCTCCGTCCCCGGCTACCGAACCGCGACGCGGCGGCGGGAGGAGAGCGGAGAAAAGGAGTAAAATGGAGAAGAGGAAGAGGAGCGGGACTCACCGTCATCCACCGTCCGTGTCTCCGCCGCCGTCGGTGCCGCTCCCTCCTGCCGCCGCCGCTCTGACGTCAAGCTGCACGCGACACACGCCAGCGCGTCGCTGACGTCCTTCAAAATAAAAGCGTCAAAAGGCGAGAAAAAAATTACAAAATAAACGAGTGAAATAGAATTTAAAATGATTGGAGAGTGTCACGACAATTCTGATTATAGCAGTAAAAAAAATAAAAATAAAAAAGAAGTAGATTATTGCAAATACAGCTGATGTTGCGCTGCTCCTTATTTTGTACAGTATTTATTTATTTTATTTTTTCTACTTTATCTTTTTTAAAAATCTGTTTTCTTCTTAGATTTATATTATTTAGCATTAGCTGTGGATAAAGAAGAAAGAATTTCATATTGTGCATTTAATAATAAAGACTTTGAATCTTGAATGAGATAAACTTTATCGATCCGTCGCTGAGGACATTCATGTTACAGCAGCTGGATACAGAGCAGGTGGACAGGAAATGACACA